ATCACGATGTAGTAGCTAACTGTAGTGATAATCACCATGTAGTAGCTAAACTGTAGTGATAATCACCACATAGTAGCTAAACTGTAGTGATAATCACAACATGGTAGCTAAACTGTAGTGATAATCACCACATAGTAGCTAAACTATAGTGATAATCACAACATGGTACTAAACTGTAGTGACAATCACCACATAGTAGCTAAACTATAGTGATAATCACAACATGACATCTAAACTATAGTGATAATCACCACATAGTAGCTAAACTATAGTGATAATCACAACATTGTACCTAAACTATAGTGACAATCACCACATAGTAGCTAAACTATAGTGATAATCACAACATGGTACCTAAACTATAGTGATAATCACCACATAGTAGCTAAACTATAGTGATAATCACCACATAGTAGCTAAACTATAGTGATAATTACCACATAGTAGCTAAACTATAGTGATAATTAAATTATCACTACAGTTTAGCTATTATGTTTTTATTACAACATAGTTACCTAAATTATAGTGATAATCACCACATTGTTGCTAAACTGTAGTGATAATTATCACATTGTAGCTAAACTGTAGTGATAATCACATACAAACAGATATAGGGTGGCCACACACTGATTTAAGGAGAGGTGAGACAGGCATGTCCTCCCTCCTTCAGCCTGCAAAAAAAAAGACAAATCAATTGACACACCAAGCCCTCCAAGGGCCACGTCAATAGGAGCGCTCTCCAGTTGTGGCAGATGACATACAAGGTGATTTAGGGTGACAGAGAATGACATACAAGGTGATTTAGGGTGGCAGAGAATGACATACAAGGTGATTTAGGGTGGGAGAGAATGATATACATGGTGATTTAGGGTGGCAGAGAATGACATAAAAAGTGATTTAGGGTGGCAGAGAATGACATACAAGGTGATTTAGTGTGGTAGAGAATGACATACAAGGTGACTTAGGGTGGCAGAGAATGGCATACAAGGTGATTTAGGGTGGGAGAGAATGACATATAAGGTGATTTAGGGTGGCAGAGAATGACATACAAGGTGATTTAGGGTGGGAGAGAATGACATATAAGGTGATTTAGGGTGGCAGAGAATGACATACACGGTGATTTAGGGTGGCAGAAAATGACATACACGGTGATTTAGGGTGGCAGAGAATGACATACACGGTGATTTAGTGTGGTAGACAATGACATACAAGGTGATTTAGGGTGGGAGAGAATGACATATAAGGTGATTTAGGGTGGCAGAGAATGACATACAAGGTGATTTAGGGTGGGAGAGAATGACCATGATTTTGGGTGGGAGATAATGACATACAAGGTGATTTAGGGTGGCAGAGAATGACATACAAGGTGATTTTGGGTGGCAGAGAATGACATACAAGGTGATTTGGGTGGCAGAGAATGACATACAAGGTGATTTAGGGTGGCAGAGAATGACATACAAGGTGATTTCGGGTGAGAGAGAATGACATACAAGGTGATTTAGGGTGGCAGAGAATGACATACAAGGTGATTTAGGGTGGCAGAGAATGACATACAAGGTGATTTATGGTGGCAGAGAATGACATACAAGGTGATTTAGGGTGGCAGAGAATGACATACAAGGTGATTTAGGGTGGCAGAGAATGACATAAAAAGTGATTTAGGGTGGCAGAGAATGACATACAAGGTGATTTAGGGTGGGAGAGAATGACATACAAGGTGATTTAGGGTGGCAGAGAATGGCATACAAGGTGATTTTGGGTGGGAGAGAATGACATACAAGGTGATTTTAAGTGGGAGAGAATGACATACAAGGTGATTTAGGGTGGCAGAGAATGACATACAAGGTGATGTAGGGTGGCAGAGAATGACATACAAGGTGATTTAGGGTGGCAGAGAATGACATACAAGGTGATTTAGTGTGGTAGAGAATGACATACAAGGTGATTTAGGGTGGCAGAGAATGACATACAAGGTGATTTAGTGTGGCAGAGAATGACATATAAGGTGATGTAACGTGGCGGAAATTGACGTACAAGGTGATTTAGTTCTAGGGAAAGGTTTAGGTCAAAATACCTATTTGTCAACACATTAATTTATAATACTTTATTGAAATTTCACTAAATTATGTACATTTCTTTAAAAAAAAAGTTTCAAATATTAAGCCTAATTGCATTGTGACATGTGATGCATGGTATCAAGGCACCCCACTTTCCATGGTACAACATTTTTTTTTTTTATTGTGTACAGCGTTCTTGTACTAATAGATTAGATTTAAGTGCAGAGAAAAAAATTAAAAGTCCCTTGTAATTAAACTCTCGTCAGTGTTACTTAGCAGTGACAGTGAACAACTGTTTCTGTCTATAATATATAAGCAGGCTTTCTGTATTTATTTGGCTACCTGAATTGAATAGTCACACCTCCATAATTCTGGCCTCAGCATTTCGCTAAGACCATTACGTTTTGTTTTATGACAAAATAATATCAAGTTGGGTTTTAAGGATCATTTCTGCTAACAATGTAAATAAACATTCTCATTTCATTGACAGTTCTGTTTCCATGGTAATATGGTTATTTACCATCAGATATGACACCCCCACCAAAAAAAACTTTTAAGGTTGCCATGAGTGTATATGTCCAAATTTCAATTTTTTTTCATTTTAAATGATAGAACAGCACAAGAACACATCTGTGAGCTGTTGCGTGTATTACCAGTATCAGTGATTTTCCTACAGAACGAAGGTCTAAGCAAAAATCAAATGATATGATTTTGAACTTGGATTTCTTTTGTTATACCTCAATATTGAAATGCCGATCTTTCAGAAGGAAATATTACGATTACTTTATCAAAATTGACCATCATCAAATGTGTAGAGCACATAATTAAAAGCATAGAAATATTCCCAAAACACTTCCTTCATTTGTTGAATCTCTTGCAATGTTTTGATGCCACCTATGACTCTTGTTTGTGCTGTTTTTACATTCTATTTTGCAGGATCTCTCACCCAGTGAACCGAAAATTATGGCTGCCTGACTGTGTTTGTAAACAATAATAATTGTAAAAATTGGTGGAGTTGATGTATTTTGCATAAAAAAACTGTTGCCATAATAATAAAGATTAGTAGGTATCTTGTCATGCTAACAGTAATATTATTTAAAAAAAAAAAAGATTATTAAAATAAGGTCAAGAAAAATTTGAAAACCTGATTGGTCTAAGTAATTATGCGTGTGAAATTAAATATAATTTGGAGTACTAAATTTACTTACTATATTTGGGATCACTTACTACATGTGCAGTATTTAAAGATTTTCAACATCCTGCCAGACAGATATCAAAAATGTATATGAATATATACTTTATTATACATGTAGCATAAGAAACAATAGGATTAATGCTTCCATAATAAGATGTAATTGCACTCTTTCCAAAATATATCGGCACTTATATATCAGAACTTTCCTTTCCTTATATGGGGTAAACTACATCACTGACATAAATGCATCTATTAAATTCATTGACGTCACATTCTAACACCTTCTTTTATGTTGGACACTTCGGTTAAAATGATCACCGTACTGTCTTCGTGCAGACTTGACTATATCCTTGTGACAACCTCATATCACAGAAGGTATCACTTCTAGAAATGTAATTCTTATATAATTTATGTACTTTCACAATCTATTATTTTCCTAGCAATGTTATCAACATTTTTTTCTTTCAATACAAATAAGGAATCTGATAATTGAGTTGATCCAATTTGATATTTTGTGAAATGTGAACGTTTTCTGTATTTCTACAAATTCACTATTCAGAATTATAGCAAGGAAACTTGACACACCCACAGATTTATTGTGGATTCCTTGATACTCCCTCAATACCATGATATTTCTGATTTACCTGAGTGAAATATTCCACAAAAATAAGTATAGGACATTCAACGAGTGTCTGAGTGCTGTTTACAAGACTCTATTCAAAACAAAGTTATCCTTGGAAGCAAAGCCAAAAATTACCTTGCAGTGTACACAGTGTGTACAGTGAGAAAGTGACGTTAATTTACATAAATACAAAAAGTCTATTTTATACTGTCATTTGCTTATTACTGGTAATAAGTAATGATTACCATGTGACAGTGAAAGGACCATTCTAATGAGTGTATAAGCCGAGAACCTCCATCAGAAACTGCAATAGTTCAGTTTAAGCCTTTACCTGCTATGGTTGATATGGTGAGTATACCACATGCTTGGCCAAAAATGTCAATAGTTGAGGAAAAGTCAACTCCAAACGTTACACCTTGACTAAAGTTACACAGCCTTAGTCAAGATGCAAGTTCAATTTACAATAGTGGTTATGTACAACCTGCATAAAAACAAAGAGATACATGCATGTGTGAATTTACATACATATGTCCAGAACACTTCATGACATGACTAGAGCAGATGGCAGTGGGTCATCCTGTGATACACCTTTTGTACCATGCATTTATAAATTGATGTGTTTTTATAAAAGTAAAAATAATTTCCACCAATTTTTTGAATTAGTGTAACTACAGTACAGACATTGTACATTCACTAGTATTGCATTATTGTATTTATCGTCTTTCTATCATCCCATATTTGCATCACACATTTTAACCACCACTTAACTCTTCAATATAAAAACCGTACAAGCTCCATTTGAAGCACATCTCTAATAGAAACGCATTCAAATCTAAAATTGCATTACTTTGTTAAAGGCCAGTGTAAAAAACCATAGTAGGAAGATATCACTTTCGATTATCTTTTGTTTTTCATTTAAATATAAAGTCTATTCATATTAGATATGTAATCTTGGAAAAAGAAATACACTTTTGAAGTCATGAAATTCTAGTTAAAAAAGCTGTGTGTAAAAATGTACATCCAGTATCCCCAACTTGAAATTTCCTATCTCCTACACAATTTAACTTTCATGATTACTAGCAATACAACGTCTGCTATTGAAAACACACACTAGATTAGTTTGGGTTGATGTATAACAATGCGACCAGCTTGGCACCCTGTTGCTAATAAATTATGCATGGGTGAGAACTTAGATGTTAACACTGTTCGTCTATGACAAACAATTGTCTTTAGTTCATATAATTCTTGGGGCGTATTCGGATGACAATCGCACAGTTCTTGACATTTATCGTTGAACGCCAGTAATCTAACTCCATAACCGTACGGTGAGCAGACAATGCGACCATCAGGACTGAAGCATAGTTCTTTTATATACCCCTTACCATCGCTACATTCCTCAATGTAATTAGTCAGTCTACTGACACCGGTCGTACATGTAGCTTCTGTTTCTGTTTCATCTTTATTTGAGAACCTTTTATCTTGAAGGTCATGTACACAGGAATACTGTAACAAGAAAAATGAACAGTACAGTAAGATACAAACTTATTAATGATTATTACATACACGTAACACATGTAATAGTGATTACTTCAATTACCGATGTATTACAAATATAATGGTGATTACTTCAGATTAATGTATGTTATCATTGTAATGACAATTACTTTTGTTTCATATTACCAGGTACACATATAATGGAAATTACTTCAGATAGAAGTCATTACAAATGTAATGGTGATTACATAAATTGCACTTATTGTTTACTGGATCATTGAAACATGGCTGACTACAGACACACCTGTCATTTTATGTATGTACAACCTAATGACAACTAATGTCTGTTTTGCAAGTCTCATTTCTAGTTGCATTTCCCCTTTAGAGATAGTTGTACATAACTTTAGATAAGCATTTGCACTATTAACAGACAGTACTCACTACTGCCGAAAGCACCTGAGTGGAGCGAAGCGACTACTTGACAAAGTAACCAATGGTGATTACAGTGAGTGTACAGTAATAATTACATGTATATGATTGTTTTCCCAATGAGCATTGAGCGAACATTTTTATTTTCTTCTTCAAAACCAAAGTTTTAAGTGTATACCAAACCTCAGACCAAACAAGCCGGCCCCTGTACCTGGCTGACAGATCTAAAATAAAAATGCAAACATTGTTGCACTACTGTACACATCATGCTGTACTTATTGGGAAAACAATCATAATATTATTGCCCGCTGTAACAACCATCATTGGTGACTATTTTGAGTATTTGTTTTGTTCTAATAAGATGTTACCGAAAGGGAAAAGAATTCTATTATAACTAGGTATGCTTGGCATATAAACTCACTTCTACGTCTTCAGCTTCACTTGTAAATCTAGATAATGCACACCATCCATAGGGATGAATTTGCAGGGAAGAAATATTAAACACTTGACTTTGAAGAGGAAACTCGGTCACAATTTCCACACGATTTTTCCTTGCTCCAAAGTACCTTGAATACTCCCTGTAGTAATCCTCAAGTTCTTTGTTTTTACTGTCAACCCAAAGTTGATAATACTCAATAGGGTCAACGCCATGTAAATCACGGTCCAGAGTTGAAAGGTCAAGGTCATGTACAATAACTATGAATCCAGCAGAGTTGGATATGATTAATTTGCTACTATCTGGAGTCAATCTCGATCTCATTAACCCATCCATATGAAATAACTTTTTACTCTGACAAATATTTTTTTCCTGATACCTACAAAAGTAAAAAGAAAAAAATAATAGGCGAAAAAATAAATAACACATTAAATATATATGACTCTGATTTTAATTTTACGCTTGACGTATTTCACCTTGCAGTGAGAACAGAGATAACAGTGTGTGTGACTAGTCATAATGAAAAATATAGAGTACATATACTACACATTAGAGGCACACATGCACACACTCACCTCGACAGACATTCAATATACTGTAGAATACTTTATTTTCGATTGGAATTTATTTTCGCTATTTTCACAGAAGGAAAGATTCTGTGAAAATAAAATCCAGCGAATATACTTTTTTTCCTATATTTCACATTAAAACTCATCAAAAATCGGTGAAAATAAATTCCATACAAAATGCCCAAAAATCCTTTTCAGCGAAAAATTAATTCCAGCGAAAATAAAGTATTCCACAGTACACTATACTATACACGAATCACTGGCTAAGTGTAAAATACTGTCAACATGTAAACACTTTATATTCTTACGTTGTATTCTATTTTAGAGTTTAACTGAAGTGAGACTCCTCAACTGAACGCTAAAAGACAAAAAGCAGCAGGACAACAATTATCCCGTTATCTAATCTGTTGTTAATCCATAAACAATATTAATTATGAAAGATTAAAAGATTAAAATATTACCGATTTATATCCCATGATAGTATATTTCCATCAAATCCTGAGGTAACAAGGATATTAGACACTGGACAATATTCTATATTCTTAACCCAACTTTGATGACCTCGTAAACTTCGAATCTTCCTCTTCAAATTACGAACATCCCAGAGAGCAACTGTCTTATCATCTGAACAGGTAGCAAAAAGTCTGTGATCCAAAAACCTGTAAGTAATAAATGCAAATGTGGTTTAATATCACTTTTTACTAATCTTGAAATTAGTTTTAGGTTAAGTCTAAGAAATGATGCGCACATATGGTATTTACATACTATAAATTGGAATTTTTTTAATTTGATGATTTTATGGCATTTGTGAAAACAAAATTTCAAACTTGACCCTTGCCAAGGAAGAACTATATTTTCTTGTCAACTCCAGATGTTGCACCTTGACTAAAGCTGTGCATTCTTAGCTAAAATGCAAAATCTGATTTACAATAGCAATAGCAGTTTACACAATTTTTTACAGTTATACATTGTAAAATACTTTATTTTTGCTTGGAATTAATTTATTATCTCTGAAAACATGATTCAGTGAAAATAAAATCCAGCGAATATACTTTTTTTTCCTAAATTTTACATTCAATTCATCAAAAATCTGTGAAAATATATTCCATACAAAACATCCAAAAGGTCCTTTCAGTGAAAATTTATTTCTGCTGAAATAAAGTATTTTACAGTATGTAGCTAAGACAATGCCTGTTTATAAGTTATGAATGTTAACAGTACATAGCGGTTGCTCTCTGCATACTGCCATAGCAGTTTATAATCTGCATAAAAACATGTGTGGATTTAGAGAAATAATCGTACTTGACCAAGTTAACGCAGTCATCGTGGGCATCTTTGATTGTAGTTATATGGGTACCAGTAAGTGGATCACACACTTTAATACTTTTTCTCTCACAGGCAGCAACAAGCACTTTCCTAAAATAGAAACATCAATCACAAACTGTTTTAATGTAAGACAGCAGCACCTACATAAACCACAGTCCCTCCTTCTGGAGAGACTGTGCATAAACTAAGCCAGTAACACATTTTTTTTCTTTATGCTTTTTGTTTCTTTACTTTTTATGCAGTTATTTTTCTTTTACTAATATCTGATTTGTAACCCTTTTCATCTCCTCCGGGGGATGTTGTGTGTTAATAAAAAAAAAGAAGAAACATTCAATAACTGCTATGAGTAATTACCAATGTTTTTACATCAAAATATAGACAATTGGGGAGTGTAATGCGGAATCACCACTTCAGGTTGAAAGAATAACAACTGTGTAACAAGTAAACAACTGGGCGGGCCGTTCAAATTGCATATCCCATGACGTACTCACTACTGGTGCAATTCCGAGGACTTTAGAGCCACAGTAATTTACAACAATAACATTGTAACCGTGTCAGTGCCACAAATAGAACCACGGAAGCTAAAAATAGCTCCACGATAGAACTGAAATTTTAAAATACTCGGTATACTAACCCATCGGGAGAAAACTCTATATTGAAAATTGAACCATGTCCTTCAACTGTTGTATAAAGAGCTGACCCAATACATTTTACCGGTGACATTATCGAGTAGAATTTGGCAACGAGCTCATTCTCTTGTCGCCGCCTGTCCACTCGCCGATTATTTAAACCCAGTTCCCGTTCTCGTAGCCAGTTCCATGGGGTGATTGGCTTTTTAGCCATATCCGACCGATATTCCACAACTTTCATATGTTCAGTGCCGCTTATAAACATCTCTACAATCCCACACCATCACTGACATAACATTTGCGAACAGACCTAGTATTTCCGCCGACAAGGTCTGTTTACAAATGGTAGAAGGCAGTTTCACTGGCCACCATCTTAATGAACCCCCTAGGTGATTTAAGAAGAACAGTATGTAACAAGAAAACCTCCTAGGCGGACATTTGTTGGTGCAAAATTTGGAAAAAGCTGCTCTAAATATTTTAAAGTATGACAGATAAATATAATATATAGAAAATGGTAGTAGATAATTGTAGCCTTTGGCAATTATTCATTGTTAATAAATGTTGTGGTCGTCGTCGCGAGATATGGGAGTCATATGAACAAAGATGGCTGTTGCATATAACGAGTACCAACTGAGATGTTACTGAGCTTTAATTAGGTATTTTGTGATTGGAAGGTATCGCAAGAGTCATCAGCGGTAATTAGTGCACGTTGTGCTTAGGTCAAGTACTTGTGGATTTCACATTAGAAGAGCGCGTTGGATTATGGGAAAATCGATGTTTATCAACACAAATGTTGCACATGCGCAGCACGACGACCACCGCCTTTTAATATACCACTCAGTGTAGTATGCTGCCGTAAAGTGTCACTCACGCAGCTTATTTCGTTCTAATTAATTTATTTGACCATATTTAATACTGGGTAGCCTACTAGTATTCAGTCAAAAAAGAAAAAAAAACACTGATCTCCCACATACTGTAAAATACTTTATTTTCACTTGGAATTGATTTTTGCTATTTTCGCTATTTTTCCTATATTTTACACTCAGAATCAGTGAAAATAAACTCCATACATATTCAGCGAAAATTAATTCCAGATAAAATAAAGTATTCTACAGTAAGACGCAACAATTCACTACCAGCCACACACTGAGCTTGGGGTTTTCTCCTTTTTTAACATAATGAAAAAAGTACGATACGGAATTGAAAGTTATTTTTTTGCATAATTTCGTACACTATTTTTTCTATTTCTCGTTGAGCTATCAATCTATCGCAATATTTCTTTACTCTGCCAAACAGGGCGCGAACAGTACAAACAGTACCTCTTCGTCATGCCAGAAATTACAAACGATGTTCGAAATGAGAGGTTACTTGAAGAAGACAATTGAGGGCGTGATTTCGGCCCCATTGCGTTTACACGGTCTGAGCACTCTACGATTAGAGTGACTGTGGTCTGAGCCATGTCGGGCCTAATTTTATCAGAGCTCACTCCAGGGGAGTGCAATATTATGTCTTTCTAGTAGTGTGGTAGCTATAGTACGTGTATTGTCTATGAAGCTAAATCTAGCCAAACGTGATAAACACAGATATATATTGGGATATTTAGACAATCTAAATATCATCTCGAGCTGGAACAAGCAGCTACACGTGGACGGGGGTGTTGTTAAAAATATTTAGGGACGCTATTGCAGCAATATATCGCGATATTTAGACAATGTGAAAATAATGCATGATAGTAAACAGTTTTGTGTTATACAAATTCAGGGCTTGTTAGGACTAGAATCATAGACCCTCTACTGGAGGGTCTATGCTAGAATCATGGAAGGTACTAACTACTACTAGTACTAGTACCTTCCATGCTAGAATTGACGTTTCATTTAATGCATATAGGGGATTATAACACCACGGATTAAATGCGTCCATTGTCTTGAACAGATAAATTTCCCCAACATAAACATCTAATCTGTGTTTAGATCATCTAAATAGCGGCAATTGCGTCCTTTCTAAATAGCGTCTTTGTTGATAATTAAGCTCGGTTTCTAAATCGTAATCTAGAGTATGTAAATTTAGAAACAGATTTGGACATTTCTAATTTAGCTTTCTAAATTTGAATCTAAACTTTATAAATTGGCTATTACACCACCCTGCACCTTGATGTCGAGCCGTAGGGCTCCGATAAAATGCTGTCGTGTAAAACGCAGCAATATAATCCAATGTATCAGTGTCGATGTACCATAATAGAAACGCTCAATTCAATATCATGAGTAGAAAACAAATGTGATACACACTTCATTGCAAACGCTACGTTCAGAATAGAAACCTGGCGGGAAACGACCGTAGAAGCGGGCTGATTTGTTGCTCAACGACAGTAAATAACAAATAAGACTGATAAGACAGTAAAATAAAATTACCACAAAATAAACATGTATTACGCGGTAACCCGGCTTTCGCCATTTACACACCCGACGATACTTTATTTTATTATACAAGACAAAAATAAACAAGAGACTGTATGCAAGTCTAAATGGAACTTTATATCTCTACGTGTAAGAGCTATGTGCACGTGAGTCGAAGTTCCCTATACACAGCCACGCTAGTTAGCAGTACGTACATGGGGTATCTCATATACATTTGTATTTTGTTTATTTCCCTA